TCTAACTGTATGAATAAGGTATATGGCACACGTGTTAGTAATAATTATTGAAATAAATTAAATTCTGTATAAATGAATAACCTACTTCTAGTTTAACTTGCCATGGGTGTAATGTGACGGACGTTTGTCTTATAATACTTGCTGTGATCACAGAAAAATTATTTGGTCTCACTTGTGTTACATGACCACTATCGGCTAAATTTATACCCTTACTATTTGTAAATACAATATTACTATAAATATTTTGAAAACCACACTTAATTATTATGTCCTTTATGTTAGTGTTAGACATAATACAATTTTTAACGAATTCAAATCAAAAGCTATTTGGAAAATTAAAAGTTGACATTACTAATTAGGCTTCTATGGTTTTTAATTGGTTGACTGTAATATCAATTTTAATTATACAATCTGTCAATTTGATAAGAATTCATTTTTTAGTACCTATTCTGGTCTCAGAACCATGGGTAAATATTAATAAATATTAATAACTATTTAGCCATGCCGTTATGATACACATTGCATAGTATTTATGTTTATTCTAATCCCCTCAGTAATGCGTGCATTCACCACTATGGGGCGCTCTGTTCAATAACTTGCACGTAGTCTATTAAAACTTATATTTATTTTTTTTAGAAAACAAGGGAATTTCAAATATTGCTGTGTTATTGTGTCTACCATTTCTAAAGGAAAAAAAGCAAAACTGCAATGGAAACCATCAAAAATAGTGATGAGGGATGGTTTCATAACACACGTGTTGAGTAGTGCCGAAGTAAAAGAAACAATATCAAGAAGAAGAGATAAATTGGTATAGGATTAGGCCAAACTTTACAGCCATTTGTATTAATAGTGGGTTCTTCTTTAAAAGAGATTTCTAATTACTTTGTGATAGTTGACAATACATTTTATCGTTTAAATTCAATACATTCAGCAGTCGATTGCTGTTTTAAAATTATAATCACACTTAACGCTAAATATCCATCAGAGAGTGAAGCTATTTGGTATTTTATTCAAAAAGGGTTATACAAATTAAATACACCGTTAGATAAAAACTTTACGGCAGTCAATGCTTTTTTATCAGATGTTGGAATAACTATTTAAAACTGAATATTTTTATTTTTAATTTTAAAGAATTCGCTGCTGCAAATTACATAATTATCATTTTTAATTTTAATATTTAAAGTCTTGTAAAACAATATGTTTAAGTGTTTTTTTATGTAAAAAAAACTTTTAAGAATACTAATATACTCTTAAGACATTTTGATTTTCAACATTATGATCATACATTTGATGTGTATAATTGTGCTGAAAGCCTGAAGGAGAATGGAGTAGATCATTTTACTTAAAAAATTCATATACCAAACATTTATTAAAACATACAAAAGATTTAGTATAGATTTCATTACATTCACAAGTATTGCTCGAAGACAATATTCTCTTAGAGTTCGCAGCAACTACTAACACTAATTCTGATTTATTGCTTCCAACTAATGTGAGTAGTAATAGAAAATTTACGATAGAACCAGTCGAAATTTTGTACCAAACATTAAGTACATTTCTAGCATGTTTGTATGCAAATCCTATAATGCCCAGAAATGCTGTACAAATTGTTGTCGATGGTATGGAAACAGTACTTTCAGAAGGTATTGGTGTTTTTGTTAAAAGTAGTGCACAACAATTGTTGTCTGAAGGTAAAATGTCAAAAGAATGTTTTGGTTCTTTTTTTAATGTAGTAAAAGATAATATTGAAAGTGCATAAATCAATTTTAAAACTGAACATAAAAGGTTTTCGTATTTTAAAAAGCAAAGTTCTTTTATAGRACCAAAAGAAATGGTTATTGGTCAAAGACTCAATAATGTTGTTAAAAATGGTATATCCATCCTAGAACCTTCTGACTGTACACGACAATTTATATCTCTACGAAATGTTCTTAAAAATTTTTTTTCAGTACAAAATGTGCTTTCTGAAACATTAGACCATATGAAAACTTTAAAATCAGATAATAAAGCTATTCAAAACTTTATTCAAGGCACATATTTGCAAAGCAGAGCTTTTAGTCACAATGAACGCGTTGTGTTTCCACTTTTCGTTTTTTTTGACGATTTTGAAAGTGGAAATGCCCATGGTAGCCATTCTGGAATACATAAATTAGGAGGAGTTTATATCTCGTTACCATGTCTCCCTTCTTATTGTTTTRCAGTGTTATCTAACATTTTTCTTGCCTTAATTTTTCATTCCTCTGACAGGGTTGAATTTGGAAATAGGATTATTTTTCAGCCTCAAATGGATGAATTAAATTTTTTACAAGAAACTGGTATTGAAATAAGTAGGTACACCAGATTATGAAGGTAAATTGTATTTTGAGTTGGGGCTTATATTAGGTGACAACTTAGGATTGCATTCCATCACAGGTTTTACTGAGAGTTTCTCCTCACACTTTCCATGTAGAATGTGTACAAYGAGAAAAGAAGATATATGGGTTCAATGTTATGAAGATGTGAGTTTATTAAGACATACTGATCAGTATTATGCTCAATTATTAATGAATGATGTGTCTGCTACTGGTGTAAGAGAAAAGTGTATTTGGTTTRATGTGAATAATTTTAATTTATTTGATCAACTAGGAGTAGACGTAATGCACAACATGCTAGAAGGATGTTCTAAGTATATTATGAGCTTCATTTTAAAATACTATATTAAGGAATCAAAGCTTTTTACGCTACAAGTATTGAACGACAGACTAGTTTGCTTTGACTATGGACCTGAAAACAATAAGCCATGTGCACTTACTGAATACTATATTATACAAGGAAATATTAGACAATCTGCATCCGAAATGTTGACATTAGTAAGGTACTTTGGTTTACTAATTGGTGATTTTGTACCCTCAGAAGAACCACTTTGGGGTCTATATATTGCTATGCGGAGAGTTCTAGATGTTATAATAATAATCTTGATAATATTATAATCGGTTCCGGGACATTTGCGGTCGGCACCTTTTGCGGTCAATTTATTTCTATCTACCTGACTATAAAATTCGGGTGCTATATATAATATTTTATATACTATAWACTTAATTTATRTTAATARGTAGCTATAATACTTTTTTGCTATAGTTGAAATTATACTACTGATTATTACTATACTTGTCAAATATATTATATTTAAACTTCCCTTCACACTTTTCCAGGCTTAGGACTGGCAGTATTTTTTACTGRCGTGTTTAAAAATTCACATAATAATATATTTGTCAATCACAATTCACTGTACTTACATGAAAAAATTAAAAAAAAATTATTATTATAAAAAATTCACATAATAATATATTTG